TGTGCAAAGGCATAGGATGCCCGGTTGCTATGGTAATGCCCTATATGCTACAGTCTTATCAGCTTCCACCTTAATCTTAGGCACATAACTCCCGGGAATAAAGGAATTTACTTGCTTGATAACCACAATGTTTCACCAAGCTCTGGGGCTCCTGGAGCTGCCCGCCTAACAGACTTCAGACAATGTTCTTTCTTGAGAACTGCACAAAGCTCCTAACGTTGCATATTGTAACTGTGAAGTATAACTGCAGAATAAGCAACCTTACTGAAACTCTAAACAGTAATGTGGTTACGGTACTAACGACCTATGTAACCTCTTGATATAAATAAGTGTGGCCGCTTGGACAAAGGCCACTCTGCCACCTTCCCTGCCTTTGCACCCTTTCTGTGTCTCTGTCTACTTATTATTATTATTATTTTCACAGGCCTCCTGTCCTCATCAATCCCATGGATTTTCCATCATGAGGCTCCATCTTCTTTTTAAAAATCTCCGAGTCAAGGTGAATAATAGGTGCCCTGCATCCATCAAGAGCTTTCAGAAAAATTTGTCTTTTAGGGCCCGTTTCCTGTAGGGATTTCTTTGAGAATCATGATCCTCCTGGTCAAATGAAGCAGTGGTAGTCCCTCTGGCTTATTTCTTGGAGTGTCTGCAGACCATCTGGTAGCTTTTCCTTTCAAAATAAGTGACAGAACCCATGAAGACCCAGGTGTCCACAGACCCTGTGCATTATCAAGTAATGGAATATCATCTTCATTGCTCTTATTGGTGGTTGCTTTACACATTGCATAGAGGATGTATTCTAAAATACACTTTGTGGCCTTATAAGTATAAAATGTGTGTGTGTGTGTACTTGGTGGTAGACCAGAGGGCTCTGCTTCAGCTGATGGTGCAATAAGAGACACTTGACCTGTAACTTATTTAAAATAGTTTAATTTCTAGACTTGCTGAAAGGTGTGTTTTAAATGCATATATAGGTAACCAGAGATTTTCATTGAAAAAGACAAAATGAAACATAAATAAAGATACACTAAACTGTATTTAAATCATTATATAAAGTAAAATATTAAATTATATACATATAAATTGTTTATGCAAGGAGGTCAAAGTCATGGGATTATCATAAGATCATGACCCAGTACATCTGTTATTTCATACGTAAAGATAAAAGCAGCAGCAAAATGTTTAAAGTGAAACATAAAAGTTTAACAGAAATGGGAGAAATTACTTTTCTCTCTTACTGACATTTTAGAGAGGTTTAAAGCGAACTAAAACAAAACAGTCTTAAAAAAACACACTTGACTCTTGAAATGTAAGTGCTGAGTGTAAATCTCTGCATTGCTCCAGGCCTATTTATACTACCCAGGATTGGGTTCCTTCCTCTCTTCTCACCCTGATGTACAAGAACTGAACCTCTTGTGAGATGAAGGAAATCCAAGTCACGGGAGCAGGAAAGCCGGCCCCTCTGCCAACTGCACCAGTACCCCACAGACTCCGAAGCCTGTGCAGGGAGTGGAGGGCTTGGACTAGTGAGCCTGGGCCAGGTGGGCACTGGGCAGCTGGGACAAGTCTGCAGGGAGGGGTGCTCTGGAGACAAGGCTCTTCCTCTGCAAACCAAGCCTGCTGCCCACGTGGTTTACCTTGGGCTTCCCCTATGGAAAAATGTAAAAATAAATAAATAAAAGAAGCTTTTGGAAGTGTTTGAATTGTGAACATAACTCAAAGAATATTGGAGAGAAAAGTCACCATAGAGTGGAGGGAGAACACTTTTGTGTACAGTTGAGAAGGGTCAGCAGTGCCTCCTGGGCTTTTGTTTCCTCTCTCCCTCACCTCCCCCTCCCCTACTCCCCTCCCTCTTCTCTACTGATCTTCCCTCTATTTATTTATTAATTTTGACTTGGTGCTTGATAGATATGCATAAAGGTGGAATTTGCTGGTGTATATTTGTACATGCATATAGTATAATTCTGTCAATTAGCTTCTCATTTCCTCCCTTTTCCCCTCCCTCTTCCAGTTGCCTCAGTTCCTACCACACTCATCTTTCCTTTATCCTCTGAGATCTTCCCCCACCTCTCCTTTATACTCTGAGATCCTCACCCACCTCTCTGTTTTTTGAAATAATTTTATTAGAAATTTAATTTTTTATTTATTAAGTAAATTTATATGTGATACCTACATAAACCCACATAGAGATCATCATTCATTTATAAATTTAAAAA